TTTCTGCACCATGTGGACTAATGAAGACGGTAAACGCCATGCAGGGTGCAGTGCGGTAAATTTTGCCATGACAGCGGCTTTTGCCTGCGCTTATTCGATTCACGACTGTCGAGGGATCTTTAACGTGCACAGGGGGTAGCACTCGGGCCCTCAGTCAAACGGGCAGCGCCAAAACAATGTTATATTTTGTTCACATGACCTCATTTCCGTTCTACCGACCTGATTAGTCAAATTTAAATAGCACCAATCTCATTTCTACGCCCACAAAACAAATTTTAACGAGCTTTGTTCAATACGGGTTAATAAGACAATGTCAAAACCCGTATTCGTGATACGATGCTTATCTAGATGCATGCTAGTTTCTGGAATTATACGTACAGTCTAATATACAGTATAATACATAGGTGTAGGACAGGGTAATTGAAAACGTCGATTCATATATATATTTCTAGGAGTCAAATCTCCACGTTATGTCAACATGAGAAATTCTACGATAGCATCTGGGTTTATTTTTCCCAGACTTTCATCTTTAACTTGATCTTTTTGATTCTTATAAAGAATAGTTTTTAGTTGTTCAAACTTATCAAAACATTGTAAATTTTGCCTTTAGTTTTAGGGGAACATTTGACATATTTTTATAGGTTGGCATTTTAAGGTCTCGAGCGATCTGAATTTGACATGACGTCAATCTGTTACTAATTTATTGCCCTTGACATTTCAAACTTAGCCCGTAGACAGTGACCTTGATGATATGCATCGGACGACTGTTAATTTTTATTCACCTTTATGATTATAATTCATTATTGTTGGGATATATTGACAAACCTAATTCATGTCATTTTTAAATAATTGTATTTAATTGGGTGCTAGACTGTGTGTGGTTGCCCGCTTTCTCTCAATTGGTTTCATTTTGCAATGGCACGTCAAGATTCTATACGTTAAACAGAATCTCTTTGTGACGACGCACAGACAATAATTGTAGCATTAATTACAATATTATTATGTCCTTTGCTATAGGGTCGAATTCCTAAACATAATGACTGATCAAATGTTATTACCAGTGTTAAATGTCGTGGTTTTTGAAGACCTCAAATACGCCATGACTTGTCTATTGTAATCTAGATATTGACTTTCAGTTTTAAAGGCTTAGTGAACAAGGCACTTCGGGCCTTCGTCTCAATGATGTCATAAAATTGGCCTAAACACATTAAAAATATAACATGATATTGATAATCAAGGAACTTTTATGAATTTTTGCATCAATAAATATAAACTAGTCAATCGCCAGTGTCGATAAAAGATACCAATGGAAACTTATAATCTGACTTATAATCACACGTGCAAAAGGGAGCCACACTAACCTACTCGATTTCTAAACGCAAAGTGATCTTTAACAAGGCCTCAGCTCGAATTATTGCTTCATCCGAACGAAAAAAAACGCTTTCCTTGTCAGCTCCTACGACTTGTATTACTGATACTGGACAAAGGAGTTGGAAATCAGAATGTATCACCCCGTTGGTATTTACGTGACTCTGTGTTAGAAATCAGAATGTATCACCCCGTTGGTATCACGTGACTCTGTGTCCGTTGAAGTTTTGACTGCACATATATTTTGTTAAAAAGACATTTACTTCGGAACTTAATGTTCTTTCATCTGGTTAAAGACACAAAAATATGTAGTTTGAAACATCTGCCGCTTTTCCAGCCTTGACAATAGTCGGTCAGGAGTCAGAAAACAAAAGACCCTATTAAATATGGATTTTCCACACCTGCGAAGATGCTTTTTTAAACATGATATTAAATACCTTTATGTTGACTGTAAATTAGTGTTGAGCATCACCGTAACTTTCGTTTTGTTGGTATCACGTGACTGTGTCCTTTGAACTTTTGGATGCGCACGCAGTTTTAAATGGCCGATGCAAGATCAATTGTTAAAGTAAGATTTGATGAACCCGATATATACACGGTGTAGGGAGAATGAGGGTATAGGGTATGACTGAACTACAAATATATCTGGGTTTTGCAGAACGGAGGTATCTTAACAGGTTTAAAACACCCGCACTTGCGGAGATGCGTAAAACCCCATTTAACAGAGCCTTCTTTTTCTGTCTCTACACCAGTCTATATCTGCCCAAATAGGCTGGAATAGAGACAGATGTTTCAGTCTAATAAATATGCTGACATGAAACATGGATTTAACCACATGTGAAACAAGAATGAATTGTGGAAAGCATGTCAGATATTCAATTTGGCAGTACGAATATGTAAAACATTGAGTATGAGTGTCAAAAATGAAATTTATTATTATACAGTTAAGTGTGTCTTATATTGTCTTTATCTAAGCAGCATCTGAAAAACACTAAACCATACATCATAAGATAAGAACGATGAGTTAGTTTGTTTAAACAGACGTTTTTTAGATACAGGAAATTTTATTTCAGTGACCCTCATCACTATGTGTAGCATTTTTTTGTAAAATTTCTACAATAATAACACATTCACTTGCAGATGGACTTCATGAGGTTCATCTATGCACCATCCTATACGTTTGCACTA